GCAGAAGAAATCCGTGGATCTGGACAAAGCTTACATGGATGTCCTGTTTAAAACAAAGCCATAATGAAAAAGGCCAGAGCACTGGGTCTGTCCACGTGAGCACATGTCTGTATATCTCTGATCAAGTAGGGCATTTCATTGTTTTTTATTCAAACTGCAGTAAGGATTGAAGGCTCCCCTCAAGACTGAGTCAGACATTTCACAACCAAATAATAAAATGTATTTACAGTCTACCCAGGACTATTGCTGCTTATTTCTGGGTATTTTTTGGCTAATATATCTTATAAATTGCCAGCATAAAAACAGTAAGAAAGTTGAAAAATCGTTTAAGACCTGTTCTACAACTCTTACGTGGGAAGTATTTGTATGCAATCACTAGGAGTGCTTATGCTGTTAACCAGCAGTGAATAAATGCAGTGGAGCCTGTCTCCAGAATAGGGCACCCTTTTGCCTAGAGTTAAATTCTGTTTGACTTTCTACTAGTGAAAATATGTAAACTTAAACCCACTTTGATTTTCAGAAAGAGGACTAAAATCAGATGAGCATTAATTACGTAGTAAAAGCTGCACGATAATAACTCAGGATTAAAGAGTGCAAACATAAAATAAAGTAGGAAGACAAAGCTTAAGAGTAGAATGGGATAAAATTAAAACCAAATATATGAAGGCTTAATTTTGCTAAATACTGAAATGAAGGGAAGGTTTGATTACCTTCCTCTCCTCCAAAAAGTTACAACCTATAATTACCTGTGGAAACAGAGGGAGCAGAGATGGTGGCATGTATGTAAGAACAGCCCTAAACTATAGAACTGGGAAATGATTCTATACCAGACAATTACAATTGAAACAAAAATCTTGCTATATATATTTTAGTCCTTCATTTTCTCTATAAACTATGTATCTCTGAATTCCTGTATGATGTGTTAGGCCTCATCTGTAAGTAATTTTTGTTTGTGAGAGCAGTGACTCTCATAAATAAAATCACTCATTTCCATATGGAATTGTTTTGTAGAATTAGAATCTCAGGTTTCCAAGTCTCCAAAATGAGAAACATGCAGAAATCAACCTGGGAGAGGAACCATGATCTGTAATACATTCAAACCCTAAGCAAGACTCAGAAAGAAATGGATGGGAAAAAATCAATGACAACAATAATATTAACAAGCAGCAAATACAAAATTATGTTGCATGGTATATGCACAGATGTGTTTAGGATCCTCAGTCAGTTCTGAAGAATAAGGATGTTTTCTCAGCAGGAAGAATGGTGGGTGCCTCCAAATTTGCCAGAGCTCAAACCCAGTTGAATTGCTGCTCTAAGTCAAAGTGGCTGCATTTAAGTTCCCATGTTGATCCTTATTTGTTTGTTTGATGTCTAGCACGCCTTGGGGAGCTCAGTAAAAACCTCCTAAATCATTACAAATATAAATTTAATCTGCTGAAGGCTAGAGACTTGTAACTAGTGAGCTGTAGTTCATCACCTTGGCTGTAACTCTATCAATGTAAAGGCCCTGGTGCTATGAGCAGATGGGGTGTCCAGGCAAGGGCTCCCTGCTACATGTCTGGTTGTAGAATTGAGGCCTTAAAGTGCACTTTCTATTTATTCTTTTATCAGACATCTGTGCTAACTTAAATAAATAAAATTGCATTTTTGTACCTATGCCTCACTTATGTATTATCAAATAAAGTGGACCAAAAGCTCTTGGACATTATGTTAAAGCATAATACCTGACTGGCCTGTGACAATTCTGATATGATTTAGCATTTGGGACAAGACTACTAAGCCATTTTATTTTATTACAGCAATATAAATACAAAAATAATGATGAGAACAATTTTTATTTTTTTCTTTCATCTTTCCTGCATACAAAATCATATTGCTGGTTAACAAAAGGTATTTACCAAGCACAAACCTATTCATGTCCCTTTACAATAATGACACATGCAGAAACTACATAATCTTCAAGTGCCAAAATCATAAACTTTTGCATTTTGATCTAAACAAAGAATTCTATCTCTAAATAATTTATTCTTCCAAATCTTCAGCTATCCAGTAGATGAAAGATGCTTACACAAATATTTAAACTTTCTGTACACTTACAATATAACTCTTCAGGGCTAAAGACAGCACAGTGGCAGATTAATTAGTGCTGGGTAATGCCCACCAAAAATAAGATGTAATTTGAATGAAATTACTTACTAATTGTCTAGAAAACAGATTTGATATAGCTTTTCAGCTTAAACCTCTGATCTGTGTATCACCAGTTAAAACAGAAGAAGGTTCAGAGTGGGGCAGAGGATGTTATCAAAAATATTTTAGTACAAAAAAATTCAAAGATTTATCTTCACCTGGACAAACGTGCAATATTGGTCATATCTCTTTCACAGACTAAGGGGACTAGAAAGAAGATGGTAAGAAAAAACAGGGAGACTGAAACACATATATGATAATAAATGGTAACGACACAGGCAGAAAAGACATGAGTCAAAAGAGGCATGATAAAGGTATGTCAAGGGAACAGTATGGAGAGATAAATGGTATTGCCTACCCATCTTTCTGAGAGAACAAGGAGAGAGGCAAAGAGTTGAGTTTGCCTATGGCTGAATGTGGAGCTTTGAGCCAGTATGAGCCAAAATCTCATCTCCAGGCAATGTCACTGGAGGGGAAACTCTTGGGGATGTTTGAGTTCTTTTCCCACACTGGAATATGCCTTAAGTGTGCCAGGTTGTGTACTTGCATGCAAACAGTGTAAATCACTAAGTGAGTCAGCACTTCACAGCAGACTCAGAGGAGACTTCAGAGCCCTGCTTAGAGTGAGATGAAGGTAAAAAAGTATTAGGTCACAACCCCTCACATTCACAGGATCAACCTTCCAAAAATGAGGTGTCTACAGGAGGCCTCTTTGCTCCCTGAAGGATGTAGTTTCTATGTACTTATTTCCTTTTGAGGGAGGAAACAGAATCAGACTCCCAGAATCATCAGGGTTGGAAGGGACATTCGCAGGTCATCCAGTCCAACCCCCTGCCAAGGTAGAGTCACCCAGAGCAGGTGACACAAGAATGTGTCCAGGTGGGTTCTGAACATGTGCACAGAGGGAGACTCCACAATCTCCCTTGGCAGCTCTTCCAGGCTCTACCAGTCTCGTTGGAAAGAAGTTCTTCCTCGTGTCGAGGTGAAACTTCATGTGTTTTAGTTTTTGGCCCTTACTCCTTATCCTGTCATTGGGCACCACTGAAAATAGTCTGGCACCATCCTCTTGGCACCTGCCTTTGAGATATTTATGTGCATTAAGGAGATCTCCTCTCAGTCTTCTCCAGAGTAACTGGGCCCAGCTCCCACAGTCTCTCCTCACGTGCCAGACCCTTTCTCATCTTTGTGGTCTCTGCTATACTCTCTTCAGCAGCTCCTTGTCTTTCTTGAACTGAGGAGCCCAGAACTAGATACTATACTCCAGATGTGGCTTTGTTAGGACCAAGCAGAGAGGGAGGATCACCTTGCTTTATTATCTGACAAGGGCTTTTTGCCAAGACATGTATGCTCCAAGACCTATCCTGTGCAGACACACATTTATTGTACACACATGGTTTTTATAAAATTCTCTCTGAAAAGAAAAACACTCATATCTCTCACTGGTGAGTCAATGAAACAAAAAGCACTAATATCTATCCATCCTCTGGGGGAGTAAAACAATAGTATGTGGAAAAAGAAAAAAAAAATTGACAAAGCCAAAATCACAAGAAGTCAACTAGAAACAAGATAATTTGTGATATCCTACCACTGGAGATTTAACTGCCAGTGATTTGGCTTCCTAAGCTGCTTCTGACTTTGGCTGCTGTAAATGCTACTGTTTCATGTCGCTCAGTTCACTGCTAAACGTGTGGCATCTGACTCCTCACCTTGTTAGCACATTTTAACAGCTTTTGTGAGAGCTGCTTGGCCCTCATTGTTCTGCTGCTGGATTTCTAGAACTGTGTGGTTTATCTCTATGGTCATTATTAAAGGATGGAAAAAGAGAATTCATTTACAGATTCATGTTTTGCTGTACGTTGTAGCAAAGCTTCTGTTCTTTGTGGGGTATTTTGGTGTAGCAAAGGCAAGAATTCTTGCTCTCCTGCCCTCTCTTCCCCTTCTCTCCCCAAGGAGCATAAGGAGTACAACTTGTCTGCCTAATATTCCCTGCCTGAAACAGTGAGATCTGCTAATGCAGATCCTCAATGTACACCTCAGGCAAGTCCGGAGGTGTACACTCACTGAATCCTGAGATCAAAGCTCCTAGGTGTCCCTCAAAGAGGAGGATGTAAGATATACAAAAAGCACTGGCTGTACAGTTCCAGGCTCTGGAATCTGACAACAAATTTATCGCGTTGGTCCACCAGCAGTGAAATCAGAACCCCTGCTCAAAGTGGATATACTCATCAGTAGGATATAGATTCATGTTCCCTTTTACCCACATGTTTTCCCTGGGAAGTCTGGTCCAACAGTTTTAAGAGATTCTGGTAAGACCCCATACAAAGTGGTTGGTCTTCGGGGTGGGGGGGGTGGCATCCCCAAAATATCCCCTGTAAAACCACACTGGCTTCCCACAGTGCACAGAGGAGAACAGACATTCAAAAGGTTGGGCAGAGGTTTGCTCATTCCCTTCCTCCTCCCAAACTGCCCACTAATTCAGATTTGTTCATCTTTGAATCTCATCTTTCAGTTAGCTGAATATAGCTGGTGCTCAGTATTGGTTTATTCTCCCTCCTCCATCCCATGAGGATTGCAAAGGGTTCAGTGCACTGAAGTTACCTAAAATGTGGAACAAGGTAGTTCTGTTGGGGTATTATGGAATGAGAGCCACGTCCACTAATTATATTTCTAAATAGACTGCAGATTACACAGAATCTCTACAACCTATAGGGCTGTACAAACATGCAGTTGGAATTTAAAGCAGGAATCGGTTTTAGGATGAAGCTTGAGATATCAGATGCCAGTTCTCCTAGATAAACTGCATTATGTGATACCTGCGCCCCTATCATCCCCTCGGTGCTGCTCCACAGGGAGATCCCGGCTCTATAGGGAGAGCCCAGTTCCTCAGAGGGGAATCCAGCTCCTCAGAGGAGACCCCGGCTCCACAAGGGAGATCCCGGCTCTAGAGGAGAGTTCCAGGCTCCTCAGGGGAGATCCTAGCTCCATAGAGAGGGAGATCCTGGCTCCAGAAGGAGACCCCAGCTCCTCAGGACAGATCCCGGCCCCACGGGGAAGAGCCCAGCACCTCAGGGGAGAACCTGGCTCCTCAGGGGAGATCCTGGCTCTACGGGGGAGTTCCAGGCTCTTAGGGGAGATCCATTCTCCACAAGAAGATCCCAGCTCCACGCAGGAGATCCTGCCCTCTCAGGGAAGTTCCAAGCTCCACGGGGAAGGACCCAGCTCCTCAGGGGAGATCCCGGCTCCTCAAGGGCGATCCCTACTCCACAAGAAGATCCCGGCTTCATACCTTCCCCGTTCCCCACCACCGGCGGGAGGCGCTCACCCTCCAGCACCGCCCCAGCCCCTCACAGAGGCCACCTGCAACCGACCCACCCCCCCGCCCCCTCGGCGGGGAGGATTTATCGTGTTTCTATCAGTATATTTTATTTTGTTCCTGTTCGCAACGACTTGTGCTTTGTTAACGTTTCACCCATTGGGCGTTTTGTTTGTTTGTTTGTTTGTTTTTTTCTCTGTCGGTTTTTATCCACGCAGGAATTTACTCTCCCACCTCTCCTCCCGCTACCCGGAGGATCGGCCACTGCCTCCTCAGGGAGCGCCGCGCGCCGCTCCCTGGCAACGGCGTCCCGTGGCTCTCGCGAGATCCGGGCGCCTCCACCGGCACCTCCTCCGCGACAGCAGGGGCGGCTCTCGCGAGAGGTGGCGGCGGGTGCGCGGGCCTGGCGGGGCGGCGGGAGCGGACGCGGCTCGGCCGGTGAGTTCGTGAGTGTGTGAGGGAGGGAAGGGCGGCTGAGGGGCCACAGCCGGAGTGTGTGGAACCCTTCACCGCGGGGAGCCCCTACCCCAAAACCACAAAACCCTCAGGGTCGGAAGGCACTTCCCTTGCCCGACCCCCCTGCCCGGACAGGGCCGGCCGGAGCAGGTGGCACAGGATGGACTAGGTGGGTCCAGGATGTCTCCAGAGGGGGAGACCCCGCGGCCTCCCTGGGTAGCCTCGCCGACCGCGTGCTGAAGGTTTTTCACCCCAAAAACGCCGCAGACGGATTTACCCCCCCTTCCACCCCCGCGGCCGCTCCGTTCCGTGAGGGGTCATGAGCGCGCTGGACACGGCTTAAATTGCTGCTTTTCCTCATATATCATTTATTGGTAGGACCTGCCTTCGCTGCGAGGCCTGTGCAGAGGCAGTCTTGTTGCTGAGGGGTACCTGACAGCCGTCGTGTAATTCCCGAGCACACTTATTTTACATAATCCATGAGCAGTGATTTACCCACTCAAACGGTTTCGTAAAGAGTTCGGTATCTTTATCATATTTTTTTTCCTACGTCAGCATATTTTATTTACAGAAAATATAAATTGGTTGTGTGATAAATCTGTCATAACACAATTATGTGTTGCAGTTGCCTGTTTGTTTTCTTTTTCTTTAAATGCACTTTTGTTTCTAGCTATTGCTTCAGCACCTTTTTCCTGTTTATCTCTGATCCTATCCACTATGTCACTTTAGAGCTCTTTTCTTTCAGAACTGAGATCCAGCTCCATCATAGACCTCTACCAGGTTTGTTCCTGTCACCTGTGGGGCTTCTTTGTCAAAAATAGTGGTTGAGCATTGTATCTTTTTGTTCTTTATTGTTGGCTGCCTCTTAAAAATTTGAGTACATGCTTAAAATATAGTTTTTCAGTAGACTTTTTGGCTGTCCTTGCTGTTCTCCTCACTTCTGTTTGCTTGTATTCCTCATGAATCATCTGCTGTGATTCATTTAAAGAGTACTTACCTCTGTTCCCTCAGCTTTGTTCATCCTTTCCCTGGAATAGACTTCCCCTCTCTCTTGGGTTTCCTGTTGAATTAGATGTCCCAGAAATACAGTATCAGTTATCAGCTATCTCACTGTTCACAGTCCATAAGCTGATAGTTCACACCTTTTATCTTTTATCTGAGCTAAAAAAATGTGCCTCTGCATCATCTTGAATTCCTGTAGCTTGAGCACAAGTACAGTCAAAAGGAACTGGTTGATTTCTGCCCCCTGCTTCATTCTCCATTGCTCTGCAGTTAAGGAAGATGTTCCACTGTGTTTGTCCTGAAGGTCTGTCAGTGTGTCTTTGACTGGCTCTCTTGCAAAACATCAGAGATTTTCTGTAATGACACACAGGTTTCCTGCCAACAACCTTTGAATTTGTCCCTCTTAATTTGTGCCATTTCTGTCTCAAAAACTCATCCTGTTTGTGCCCATGATGCTGTCTGAAGCTGCTCTTGGAAGTTTTTCCAGCACATTTGTGTAGGTGCTTTTGCCCAGAGTGTTAAATGCCAGGGAAGGTGAGGGTTAAGAAGGACAGCAAGGTGGAGCAGCTCTCATATCACACATTAGATTCCTTCTTGAAGCCCAGTTTTCATTTTAGTCGCAACTGTTCTTGAAAACGATGAACAGCTGATGTGTGGATGACATGGCTTGTTAAATTAGTAACAGATGCCATCCCTGTTGGTTTCTCTGTCACTTTGTTATAAACTGTGTGTTTTCATAGCTTGTGTTCTTGAGGCTGGGGCTGCTTTATCCTGTGTACACATACAGAAATCAAAAGCTTATTATGAGCCAATTGCTTTCAGCACAGCTAATCTTTAGCAATGTTGTTTAAATCTTGGCCTGGTGCTGTTGCTTATCAATAATATGTATCAATATGTATCTCTTTATGTATAAAATCAGAAGCTAATCTAGAATTCCTTTCAGATGTGAAAAATTGTGTGAGAATTTTCTTGCTCTCTGAGGTGTATTGTTGATGCTGGGTACAGCCATGGGTATAGATCTCACTTGTTTCTTCAGGAAATCTGTTTGATGCTCTGATTCTCTTCATCTCATCCCTGGTGCTGAGTGTGATGAAGCCCTGTGTCTGTCTGCTCTGTGTATTGCTGGCCCACAGGCCATGGGGTCAGTAGTAGTGGCAAGGAGTTGGATTCTGCTCCTTTTTCCTGCAGTGATAGTCCAGGATTCTGCTTTTGGTGGGAGAAGTTGCTCACTCCACTGAGTTTTTTGCAGGCAGACCTTGGCAGATTTCACAGAGTGAATCCTAGTACAGAGAGGGAGTTGGGAATCATCTGTCATTTTTAGTCTTCCAATGTCAAATAGCTGTTTTATCATCATGTTCCCTTTAAGAATTATAAAGTTAAAGCTTGCAGGATAGTGACTGGATATCTGTTGTTTATGGTTTTATAGATAGGAATATCAGCAGCTTCCTGTGACTACTCTATTTTCCCCCCCTTTTTCCTTTTTACTTGCTCATTAAGAGAAGCTTCAATCCTGACCTACTATGTTAATGTTGAGACTGTATTGCAAAGGATGTTTTAGCTATGCTTTAATCAGTGTCAGTTTGGTAACATTTCAGTGATGATAATTTATAAAGCTACTTTATGTGGCTGAATTGTGACTGATCTCTGCACTACTTTGCAAGAAGCTCACTTGACAGGTATGGATTTCAATGGTATGTGGTGTTTGCATTATGAGCATGTGTCCTTTGAACTGCATTTCTTAATTAGGATGCAATGTCACTGTGCTTGCATTCCCAGTGAATCTGAATTGTAAGTTCCTTTTTGTTACTGCTGCTTCTGTGCTTTGATGACTAGAGGCAGTGAACAGCAGACTGTCACCCCTTACAGAAAGTCTAAATATTTAATCTGAGTTTCTCTGTCACAACTAATGCCAGGTTTTTATCCTACCTGGTTACTTGTCTGCTGGAGCTTTCTGATTATCCTGGTTCACCTTTACAGTGGATTTTGCTGAAGGGGCAGGTTAGAGCAGACAAGCTTTTGAAACCTGCCCTACTTTTGGAAATGCTTCTGACCAAAGCTTAGAGCTGAGTAGATGCTTGAAGTGTTACATATTTGAATGTTGTCTTCAGTACTGACAGCTGGAGCAATTCTTTGTTCTACCTGATGAGAAGATGGCCAGAAGAAATTCTGGGTATTTTGATCATCTTTCTTAGTAAGACTGCAGAGCTTTGCAGCCCACAATGTTCTCAGCAAATACAGTGTGGCTGGCTGGAAACGTGTTGATACTCGTTGAGATTAGCTTTGCTTTTTTCTGGACGGATTTCCAAAGAGCCTTCTCCAGCCTCCCCTAACCTGCAATACCTTGAAAACTGCAAGTCCTGCATCTTACCAACATATATGTCCACTTCTGTCAGACATCTGTTGTTGTCTAGATCTTGCTTAATCTGCTCTGCATCTTTGGTGCACTGTATTTTGTCATGGCACAGAACTGAATATGCTTTAGGTATTACTTAAAATAATCTGTTCAACATCTATCACAGGTTAGTGTAGGATACATCCTTTCATGAGGTCTTCAAGTAGTGCTGTAAACACATTAATTACTATATTTTTTAGTGCCTTGAGTGGCTCTACCACATCAACTTCTAGCTTTTCAAATCCAGTGGGCATCTGTCTTTAAAATTCACTTATATTTCAGTAGCCTACAACTTTCATAAATTAGTTATGATTCTGGCTTCAAGTTGATGTTAGCAAATCTGAAGTGTTCTAGCTGTCTGTGTTAAGAGCTTTGAAAATTAAAGTCTGCTTCCTGATTTCCTATAATTTCTTGTGATGATTCTCTGGAGCATTAGCTTTCTGCAGAAGGGTATGAAATCATTCTTTACACCTGGAGAAGTGCTTGTTAGCTGATTAGGATGGCAATCACTTGGGCAAACATGCCAGTGTTATGTGATCTGTTGAGGGTATTTGGATTTGATTCTGTATTTCCTGTGCTCCCCGTACCTTTTCACCTTTACCAGCATTTCAGATGCAGTTCGTTGATTTCATGGAAGGCATTGAATAATATTTGTGGCCATGCACTCTTGCAGTTTTTCTTAGTTTCCGGTTTTTTTTACACAAAAGGTCAGAATGTGTCCTGAAAACATGCTTTGTTTATTGCCCCTCAGTGTGAATCCACACACACACACACAAAACCTGTAAACCACAGTTGAAACATTATTTTCTATTGCATAAAAAAGTGGGTTTGCAGAATTGTTTAAAAATTAATCAG